GGGGTGGGGGTGGGGGCTCCGACAGATCCTGGGGCCTCGCTGGGTCGGACTCCTCCACTTGACAGAGAGATAGAGAGAGACAGAGAAACAGAAAGTGAGAGATTACCCTCCCAGGGGGGATGACCCTGCTGTAATCCCTTCTCCTCCATTCTTCTCTGGGACTTTTGGGCATACCCGCCAAGTGTGAGTTTTAAGCCACCGGGTCCAGGGCTCAAACCATGGTCAGCTACATGGGAGTCCAGCAATGTAACCATTACACCATCTGCTGGTCCCAACCACCATCATTGTTTTCTAAGTTCTCATAACAGTTTGTCAGTTCTCTTCCTATGGCAATCACCACTCCTGACCATGTGCTGTCATTATTTTAATTCTTTTAGGCTTTATCTGTAATACTTTTAGGTCATTGGGAAACTCATGATGTATTTTTCCGTGCAAAAAAGCTGTTATGATTTTCCCGACAACCCATTACATCCCTCAAAGGTATGCCCATTCCTTGCTTATTGGTGTGGTCTCCATTGGTGCCAGCGCTGTGCCTTGTACTGGGGGGACTGTGGTGTGTGTGTGTGTGTGCGTGTGCGTGTGCATGTGCGTGTGTGTGTGCGTGTGACTGAATGAATCCCACAGTAGTTGATGAGAGCCAGGGGCCAGGTACCTAGACTTTCCCAGAGTGTACCAATTAAGAAACCATTGTTCATTCAAATACTTATTAAGAAACTCTGTGATAGGTTGTACAGGGCATACGAAGATGAAGTAAGGTCTCCCAGGAGCCCTGAATCTAGTAGAGAAGCAAAGGCATGTTACAGACAAGTATATCTTTTTAAAATAATAATCATCATAATTCTATTTTTAAAAGAATGATTTTATCTACCTTAATTTATATTAATTTGACCAGAGAGGGACAGAGTGAGACAGAGAGAGAGTGAGAGAGAAAGTGACAAATTGAGCTGCCATGTCCAGGACTCAAACCGCAGTCAGTCATGTGAAAGTCCAGCGCCCTTAACCACCATGCCACCTGCTGGTCCCCAGACAAGTGTATTTTTTATAAAGTGGCAGATCTGAGTGTCACAAGATAGGACCTATAATAAAAACTATATAAATTCAGGTAGAGGAGATTCTAGCAGGCTTCCTGGAGGAGGTGTCATGTAGGTTTGGCCTTAAAGTTTGCCTGGAATTTTAACAAGGAAAGAGGGAAACAGTTGAAGCAGATTGAAGTGCATGGAGCCTTAAGATAGTTACAAATCTAGGTTGGAAAGGGGATTATAGTAAACTGAATCCCGAAGATTTCAGAGAGTGTATAGAATGATCCACAGAACTCTAGAAATACATGTTAGACCTCCTATTTATACTCATGTCCTCTAATTCCCATTTTCTAACTTTCTGTATGTGCTTCTAAGTGTATAACGTAGGAGCACAACAGTCTACCAGTCCGTGGGAAAGCCACGCGATGTGTCTGAGATGGAAGCAATCTGACCGCTCTGCCCTGTGGACATCACCCTGGCAGAGCTGGGTAATACAGATGGGAGGCCAATGGACAGAGATGAGAGCGAGCAGGCTTCGGAGAGGAAGTTCAACCGTCCAGGAAAGACGCATGAAACCAAATTCCGAAGCCAGAAGTGGTGATAGCGGCAGGGGCAATGCTCATGGAAAGATCTGGTTGTCACGGTTGCTACAGGGGAACAGCGGACAGGCAGAAGGACAGGAACTAGTTTCAGATAATTCACAGCTGAGCCTGGAGTGCTGTGAGGATGCCAGTCTCATCACCTTCTTCAGTAGCAGGAACCACGGGACCAGGACAGGGAGCCAGTTTAGGGAGGAAGCTAGTGGAAGTTCAGAACTTGAGCTCCTCCAGCGTAGTCTCACAGTTTACTGAGGGAGAAGCTGAGGTTCAAAACGTGTGGTAGAGGGGCCAGCAGATGGCATAGCAGTTATGTCGCTGGACTCCCATATGGCCAGCCATGGTTCAAGCCCCAGACCCAATGGCTTGAATATCACATTGGGTGCATGTGTGTGTGCGTGCGTGTGTGTGTGCCCAAGATCCCAGGAAGAGAATGGAGGAGAAGGGATTGTGGCATGACCATCCCTTCTGTGGGGGTGACTTCTCACTTTCCCTCTTACTGTCTCTGTCTCTGTCTCTGTCTCTCTTTTAAACAAGCGCATACACTCTAAGGCAAAAACCTCTTTAAAAAAATTAAAAAGTGTGGTAGATCTGAGACCAGTCATGAGGTCTCGTAAGTCTCATACTTGCTCAATGATCTTTTGGCTTCGGATTTTTTTTTTTAAACAGCATTATGTTGAACTTGATTTAAATAAATATTCCTTTTATTAAATCACTTAGTACAACCTGTTTTCCGGAAAGATTTTATTTTGATCCTTTTCACTTTGATGCTAACCAAAATTAACAGAGCTTTTGGAACTCAAAACCACATTTGAAAACAGTACTCACCAAATAGTACAAAAGAAGAGACCTTTGAAATAAATTAATGAGTAACAGTGCCATCCACAAACACCCAGCCCAATCAACGTAGCAAATGAAGTGAACCAAAATAGAACAACGCCATACGTAAATAAATAGTAAATGAAACAGGGCCATGGAAAACAGAAGGTTTCAAGAAGAAAAGGTGAAATGCAAGAAGCCAGACCTGAGAAAGTTTAGAGAGAGGATTGCGTGAGTGAACGTAGAGCGAGTTCCGAGGTAACAAGCTAGAATCCAAACAGAACGGGGCTCAGGGGCTGTGGAGGCTTGTCTGGTGTGTTCAGGGATGTTTAAAGGGGAAGGGGACAGAGGGCCTAGGAGACGGACGGCCATTCTTCTGGAGCAGTGGACACGGATGGTGCTTGCAGGTAGAAGAGAAACGGATTCGAGAGGCAAGAAGATGGATCGAGAGTCAAGGAGGATGGTTTCTACTC